AAAACCCAATACATTTATGCCATTTGGCAGTGGAGTACACGCTTGTCCAGGGAACGAACTTGCCAAGCTGGAAATTCTAATTATGACTCATCATCTTGTCACTAAGTTCAGGTATTGTTTTTTTAATAATTCTTCCAATACTTATAAGATCATAACATATTAAATCATGTTTTTTAATGAGTTAATAATGGATAACGTGTCATCTAATGTGAAATAATGCAACGTTTAGTACACTTGCTAGCGTTGCCTCAAAAGTAACAAACTTCATTAAATATAAAGTAAACTGTGTTTGGCCAATCTTTTTTTTTTTTTTTAAATGTATTTTTTTTTTCTAAGTCGAAGTATTTGGCCATACTTTTTGAAGAAAAAAAGTATTTTTGAGTATAAGCAGAAGCAATTTTGGAAAAACAGAAAAAAGTAGCTTCTCTCCAGAAGCACTTTTTTGAAAATCACTCTTGAGAAAAATACACTTATAAGCACTTTTTTACAGCTTGACCAAATACTAATTGATGCTCAGCGTTTTTCAAGTTAATTAGCCAAACAAAAATTGTTTCACACCAAAAGTATTTTTGAGAGAAGCACTTTTTTGTCGTTTGAGAAAAAAAAGTTCTCAAAATAAGCTGATTTCAAAAGTTTGACCAAATATGCTATAAGCGAGTTTAAAGTGATTTCTAGACCGACACTCACCATGCTCGATAATTTCAAATAAAAGAGTTCGGAGCTGATCTATAACCACCCTCTTACAGTCTTACTCACGACGAACATGCTATACATGAGATGCCAACGTCATGATTTAGACATTCACTATATTATGATCTTGTTACGTTATAACGCTATTCTATAATGAAGCATGCTATTATATTTAAGTTAGTGGAATTGAGACGTAGTTAATTGACTAATACGTTTTATTTGTAATTTTTATTGTTATTTATAGGTGGGAAGTGGAAGGATCTAATAGTGGGATTCAATATGGACCATTTCCTGTTCCAGTGGGTGGACTACCAGCAAGATTTTGGAAAGAATCTACCACTTCAACCTAAAGGCACTGAGCAGCAGAAACAAAAATGGCTGTTCTGATTTGCATATCTCAAATGATTCATCAATCTTATCCAAGATTGTTGCTCATCCCCAAGAAAAAAAAAACAACACATAGGGGATGAAAGAGATCTCCATTTTTCAATTAGTACTTTCTTACTATAATTTTCTTTTTACTACTAAAGGTATTCTTAATTTTGAGTACCTTTACAGCTAGCATTTTGTACCATTTCAATTTGCAAGAATTGGAATTCATAAAGTGTAAAAATTTGATTTGAGCTTTGAATCATTCATTCTTTTAGTATCCTTTATTTTGGCTTTTTGTGAGTCCATTACTCAAATAGTAACTCAAGTACGGTAAATTATCTACTAAAGTCACTTTTCTTTTGTTTGTATCAACAAAGCCACTTAACTATGTCTATATCACTCAGAAAGTCGCTCAATTAGATTTTCAAAACTTTGGATTGCCAAATACCTATTTTACCCTCTAAATTATAAAAATTTGTCTTTTTTTTAAACTTTTTAATATTATAATTTTTTTTCTTTTTAATTTATATTATGGACTTACCTATAGAATAAATAAATTTTATTTATAAATTAAAAATAAAAGGTATTTAAACATATATAATGCTGGAATAATAAAATATTGAGCATAATGAAAAAATTAATTAAAATAATTTGTTTGTAATAATAATTTTAATATTAATAACAAAAAAAAAACAAAAAATCAAAAATTTATTTACACAATTGGAAATGAAAGAAAATAAAGTTTCTAAAATTAATATATATTCCATGCACGTAATGTAAAAATAATTATTTAAATAAAAATATTTTTATAATTTACATTATATATTCTTGAAAATTATACTCAATTATATTATTATTCTGACATTATATAAGCTGAAAAATAATTAATTTTTTTATTTTATAAATAAAAATATATATTTTTTCTATAAGTAAGTCCACAATGTAGATTAAAAAGAGAAAAATGATAATATTTAAAAAAATTAAAAAAGAAGATAAAAGTTGATAATTTAAAGGGTAAAATAAGTGTTTGACAATTAAAAGTTTGAAGAAATTTAATTGACTGATCTTATGAGTGTTATAGATAATTAAATGACTTTCGTGTTACAAACGAAAAAAAAATAACTTTAATAGATAATTTGACATAATTAAATGACCATTTAAATATGTACTCCTCCAGCTTTTTTGTTGACATAAAAATTAAATAGACTTTGCCCATGTGTTGGGATGGGAAATGGTATTTTCGCCATCTTGTTTTAATATCTTTTGCTTTTGCCATGTGTCTGCTCAGTACAAGTCCTGTCTGTAAGGTCCTTATCAGAGAGGCTATTGAAGAGCCAAGTGTTGAAGGTTATATTGGGTGAGTTTTAAAGTGGTGGGTGATCTCTAAGCTGGAGAGCACAATACCAAAAAATGGGGGGACAACTTTTGATTGACCTTGGACACTGCTAAAATGTGGCTAGTAGAGTTTGTGGCATTTAAAGAATTTTACCCTTCTGGTTCACTGTCTCTATTCCTCTGTGTATTAGGAGAGACAATGGTCCTGAATTTAGGAAACATATTAAAGGACATGACTCTTATCATCAATCAAGAACAAGATCATTGTCTGTCATAAAACCTCTTCCCTCTCAAACACATAGACTGATTCATAATTGAGGGCATGAGGGCAGCTCGGTGCACGAAGTATTCCGTATTCATGTAGGGTTTGGGGAAGGGCTGCACCCCTAGATGGTGTGANTCATGACTTCAAGATCATTGTCTGTCATAAAACATGTTTGTTTACCCGAAAAAACGAATAGAGTTAAATTTATACGTAATTCTAAGAATACGCGGTATAACTTGACGCAAATCGTAAAAGCAGAAATATCGAATATTGACTATCAAGAATGAAAACACAAACAAGGTTGAAGGGAAGATGATTTATGAGTAAGCAAGATGAAAATAATGTATAAAGCTCAAAATGATAATCTCTCAATATGGAGCATATGCAAAGTATCTGAGTTATGGTTTGTTAATATCTCAATGCCCTCTTACAGAGATAATAGTCATTCCTCTTATAGTGGAGGATCCTACTTTAAATATAATTAAAAATACATAGTGGGGAGCCATGATAAATCAATTTTCTCCTTTTTTTTCCTGCCGAGATTCTCTCCTTTAGTGCGGCTGTAACGGCTCTTGTCTATAGGCTCAATATTGATTCGAGCTCGATTTTGACTCGGGACCCGATATTGATTCGAGCTCAGCATTGGTAGGTCTTTGGCTTTCAAGCTCGATAACGTTGTTTCGCATCATGGTTCGATTTGGATTCGAGCTCGATAACGACTTCGAGCTCGGTATTGATCGGTCCCTGAAACTCGAAGTTAGGTAACCCGACTTCGAATCTTATCCCGAAATTATGAAGACGCTTTTCGGTCCATTATGTTCCCATCTCGACCAGTCGTACGAAGGCCGAAATCAGTTTTGACCGTATACAGATAGTTCTTTCGTTTCTCGGGAAGGATGTGTTGAGAAACGATATGATTTTCCAATGGCTCGATCATATATATACTGACGTTTGCATCGAGCCCGACCATGACGTACGTGATAATTGTCCCGTCGATTCCGCTTACCAAGGCATTAAATGCGTGTCAAACGGTCGTCGGCTACCGCTGCTATTGAACCGTCATTCCCCAATCTATAAATAGCTTCTCTTTTTACCATTTATCACTTTTACATCTCCGGTTTTCCAAATTTTCTAAGCTCTTTCTCGTATCTTTTGAGTTTATCTACAAGCCTGTGATTTTTATTGCAAAATCTTCCTTCTGTGGTTTTCACTGCAAAACCTTTCTTCAAAATACCACATCTTTGTCATCTATTTCTATTCTCGATCTTTAAAACGAAAATGGAGAAAACATCAAAAACCGTTCCTCAAAAAGAAAAAGCTTCTTCTTCATAGCCTGCCGCCGACAAAACACCGGTGGAGCCACGGCCTGAAGAGTGTGTTCCCAGGGCGTGTGTTCTTACCTCCGATTTTAAGGTCGACAAAGGCTCGTCGGTTCCCGACCGATGCAAGCCAGTATCGAGGTATTCTGTGTTCGGTAACCGAGGGACATCTCAAACAGATAAGGAAAGATTGCAACTTGGAGAACCAAGAAGTGGTAATCCAGTCTCCCGGAGAAGATATTATGACTCATGTGAAAGGGTTTTTAAGTGTGTATACTTACCCTTTCACATTAGGTCTTTTCGACCCTATTATCATTGATTTTTGCCATCAATACTAAATAATCCTAGGCCAAATTCATCCTTCTTCTTGGCGGATCGTTATTTTGATCTGTTTCTTTGTGAACAAAATCGAAGGGATGTCTTTCACCCTCGACCACCTCATTCGATTGTACAGCCCCTGCCTCTTTCGAATAGGGTTAATAAAACTTCAGTGCCGGGCTACCAAGGTTTTGTTCTCAAGCATAGACGAGGACAAGGATCGAGGCTGGATAGGTAGGTTCGTTCGAGTGAAGACTTCGAACCTAATACCGGCCGAGAAGATGCCATTTCCCGAGGAGTGGAACATGAAGCTTAAGTGTAACTCCGCTGTTATTTCCTATTGTTTTGCACCTTCGTTTCTTTCTCACTGATATCCCCTTTTGTGATGCAGTGATTCCTTAAATGCCCGGTGCAGTTCCTAACCTTAAGAACTGGGTACGGGACCTTGCTTCGACCTCTACATATGCCGAGCTCATGGCGTGATTTGTCAAAGGGCCGATGGGAGGCCAAAAATTATGGTAAGCCTCTTTCTCGTATCTTTGATAGTTCGAATGAAGTTTTTTCCATACACTTAATCAATTCTATTGTGTGTAGGCCTAGGAAAAGATGCGGCTTTGAGGCCCCCGTCCGGCGAGGAAGAGGCTTCGGCCTTTGTTCCAAAACTGATGAAGGATAATAAGAGAAAAAGGGCCTCCACTTCCGAAGATCCAAAACCGAATACGAGGACAGCTCGTAAGGCGAGGAAGAATACCATCCATTTGACCGAAGAATCAGTTTGATGTCTAAGGGATGAAGACGAGGAAGAAGAAGACGACGGGTCCGTACTGGTAGCCCGAGTGAAGAAAACCATTGATGCCTCAACGGTTGCTAGATCGATTGTGGTTTGTGTGTCTCCGCCTCGAACTGAGGCGGTATCGGAGAAGGATTCGGGAAAAGCCCCCGAGTTAATGGAGGTCGAGGATGCCTCCCACCGAAGTCGACAACCGGTGGGTATATCCCAAAGGGTCGATCCTGAAGCTCTCCGAACCGAGGAGAACGCCCCAAGAGACTCGCTTGGGGAAATAGTAATCGGAGACTCGCCTACTATCCTCGCCTTTTTCGAAAGGGCGATTCGAGAGGCCCAAGCTTTGGGGTCCCTCTAGGTAGACGGTCCTCACGAGGGAGAGGACCCTTTTTGTGATATGTTTACCAGTATCAAGGATGATGCCGGCCCTAGTGATGCATTGGGTCTTTTCCACGAAGTGCAGCAGGCTCTGAATCAGGTAAGCCTTAACTCACTTCGTTGGTACCACCATCATGTTTGCTTTTCTTTTCTAACTTCTTTTCTTCTTTCTTCGTAGGCCGCAACGGTTCATCGAGAAGCGTGTTCTCGATCTCGAACTGAGTTGCGCCAGTACGAAGCAGACCTTCGACGGGTCACGGAAGAGAGGAACGCCCTTAGAATCCTCTTCGGGCAAAGGGAAGAAGAAATCAAGGACCTCCGAGCTGAGTTGGCCAAGGCTTATCAAGACCAGACCGACCTGATCGAGCAGGTAATGATAATCTTAAAAACTCATGGGCTCGATTCTGGAACGGTGGCTAATATTTCGATCTCACAACTGCAGCAGAAGCTTGAGGTGATTGGGAAGCTTCGTGAGGAGGTCGATATGATAAGGGCGGAGACCTTGGGATGGAAATATGGCATGGACCGTCTCGCCGCAGAAAAAGAAATTGCTCGAGCTCAATTATCATCGGTCGAAAACCAACTTCAAAGCATGAAGGAGAAGAGCTCGGTTCAAGCAAGAAAAATAGAGGAGCTCGAGGCTCGGTTGGCCCCCGAACTTGCCAAGGCCAAATCTAACGCCGAAAAAGCAAAGACCAATGCGGATGCATTCGTGGCCGTCTATTGGGCTAATGCTAAAGCTGCTTAGGTACAAGCAAGAGAGGTAGTCGAGACCGCTAAAACTCGAGCACATTGGGTTGCTGAACTTGCCAAATGCCAATCTCGGAGGGTGACCCTCGAGGAGATCTATGCTCGAGGTTTCGATCTCACCAAAGAGA